TCCCATCCCTCCATCGTCCCATCGTCCCAGCACTCCATGCTCCCATCCCTCCATCGTCCCATCGTCCCAGCACTCCATGCTCCCATCATCCCGTCGCCCCATCCTCCCATCACCCAAACATTCTGTCACTCCGTCATCCCATGTTCCCTCCATCCATTGCCAGGTCACCCCATCATCCTGTCATCCTGTCATCCTGTCGTCCCATTGCCCTGGCACTCCAGCATCCCATCGTCCTGTGATCCCGACATCCCATTGCTCCATTAACCCACTGCTTCATCTTCCCATCTTCTCTAAGTCCCATCTCCCCATCGTCCCACAGTCCCATCATCCTGACATCCTACTGCCTCAATGTCCCATGGCCCCACCATCCCATTCTCCCATTGTCCCATCCTCCCATCATCCCCTTGCACCATCGACCCACAGTCCCATGGTCCCATCACCCCATCGTCTCAGTGTCCCGTCGTCCTGATATCCCACAGTCCCGTCGTCCCATCGTCCCATCACACCCTTATCCCATCATCCCATCCTCCCAATACCATACCGTCCCACAGTCCCATCATCCCATCCCCATCGTCCCATCCTCCCATCACCCCATCATTGCACAGTCTCATTGTCCTGACATCCCACAGCCCCACTGTCCCTTTGCCCCATTGCACCATAGTCCCATCCTCCCATCGCCCCATTGTTCCACGGTCCCATCGTCTCTACATCCCACAGCCCCATCGTGCCATCTGCTCATTGCTCCATAGTCCCATTGTCCCATCCTCACATCGTCCCATGGACCCATCTTTCCACAGTCCCGTCATCTTGATATCCCCCAGCCCCATCGTCCCATCCCCCTATCCCACCATTGTCCCATCCTCCCATCCTCCCATCCTCCCATCGCCCATTCTTTCCACAGTCCCCTGGTCCTGACATCCACAGCCCCATTGTCCCATCCCCCCATTGCCTCATTACCCAAGGTCCCATCCTCCCATCGCCCCATTGTCCCATCATCCCATCACCCATCTTCCCAATGCCTCATCCTCCCATCGCCCCATCATTCCACAGTCCCATCGTCCTGACATCCTACAGCCCCATCCTCACATCCCCACATCATCCCCCATTCCATCCTCCCATCGCCGCCTCTTCCTACCATCCCATTGCCCCTTTGCACCATCATCTCATCACCCCATCATCCCAGTACCTCATCCTCCCATTGCCCCATCATTCCACCGTCCTGTCTTCCTGACATCCTGCAGCCCCATCGTCCAACCATCCCATCCTACCATTGCCCCATCGTCCATCCTCCCATTGTGCCCATCGTTCCAAGGCCCATCGTCCTGACATCCCGCAGCCCAAAGCTCCTTCACCCCATCATCCCAGAGTCCCATCATGCTGACATCCTGCAGTGGCATCTTCCCATCACCCCATAACCCCATCACACCATCATCCCATCCTCCCACTGCCCCATCATGCCACCATCCCATTGTGCCATCGTCCATCCTCCCAATGCCCATTGTCCTGGCATCCCACAGCCCCATCTTTGCTTTGCACCAACATCCCATCATCCCATCTTCCCACAACTACCATCACCCCATCTTTCCACAGTCCCATCGACCTGATATCCTGCAGCTCCATCATCCCATTGAACAATGGTCCCATTGCCCCATTGTCCCATAGTCACATCATCCATCCTCCCATTGCCCCATCTTTCCACAGTCCCCTCATCCTGACATCACTCACCCCACTATCCTATCTCAACATCGCCCCATTGTCCATCACACCATCACCCCAAGTACCATCATACCATCGTCCCATCATACCGCTGTCCAGCCTTGTCCCCTACTCACCATACTGACTGAGCCTCTCACGGCTGCAACATCAGGCACACACATGACCCTGAAGCTATAAATGCAACTGAATGAGCTCCCATTCCGAGCCTCAAATCCCTGTACAAAAACGATTCAGCGGACTATGGTTGGCCAGCAGTTTCTGCAGGAAAGGCAAGCTCACAACTCAGCGAGCCCAGAACATGCAAGGTGCAGGACTTCCTCCTGGCCAAAAATGTCCCTGCCTAAAGAGCCACAGATTGGCATACTCAGCGGAAAGGGCAGCCGAAAGGGTGAGTTTTTGAGAACTATGTAAGAAGGACAAAGCTGGCTCCTGAGGCAGCAGCTCAGACTTTGCCTGAACCCGCTGCCAAAAAGGACGACCATGCGCCCCTTTGCCACTCCCTGGAGAATTGCTGAACTCCTCCATGGCCCACCTCTCTTGGCTAGCTCAGGAGCCCCGCTCTGCTGCATCCTGCCTGCTCCCTTGCTGGACACCTGCCCTGGATCCATAGGCTAAAGTGCATGGATATCCTCTTACTATGAAACCCCTGAAAAGTGTCCCCTCTCAGATGTGCCTGAAGGACAGAACCTACTTCAGAGCTCACATCTTGTTGGTTTTTCTTGAGTATCTTATGTGAAGTATCGACACTGAGTTCATGGAAGTTATAGAAAATGTATGTAAGTTTAGAGCAATAAAATTTACATCAAATAGATGGCCCACCAGAGGACTCTCCCTCCATCATTTGCTTGATCTCAAAGCTGTATTGTGAGAGGTGGACTTCCCTTACTTAATAGCCACCGTCAGTTGTCTGTTTATGTTGCTTATGTTGGAATCTTAGTGTGAACTGGGCTTTAGAATTAAAAGCAAGTAGTTCATATTTGATCATTTAATTCTACTAAAGTTATTAAATACATTAATAATTATGTCAATTGCTGAAAAGAAATAAATGTTGAGAATATCTGGATGAATATCTAGCAGCTGGTGAAATTAAAAATTATTTTCTGATATGAAGCAAAATTAAAAGTTAAGACCTAAAAATACATGTCAGGAAAATACTGTAAATTTTCAATTGTTTTGAGTACTTCTAATAAATTTTTAAGTATATCATTGCAGTCATATTATTATGTATTGGTATAATTTTAAATTTAATATGATTTTAATACTTTACTCTTTATATAAGTAAGTATATTAAAATCTGCTCTGAAAACTTAGCTTAAAAATTAAATAAAATGTTAACAACTTTTAAATTTACTTTTAGCTTAAAATTTTTGTCAATTTTAATCCTACATTGGATAAAAGAGTCAAGTTTGGCACTCTTTCTATGTATAAAGTAAGATACATAGAGAGGACATAAATAGATATAGAGGATAACTGTCATTAAAATTTCATGAGGGATTCAATTAGCAAAAAATATGTAAAATGGCTCTGGGGTCAAGAGAAGGGGAGGTAATAATGAAATGAAATGGTTGAGAAACACTGCTCTAAACCCATTTGGAGAATGCAAAATGAAAAACAAAAACAAAAGTAGGAAGTAAGAGGAACATTCAGAAAATGGAAACTAATGTATTTGCATTTAAGAGCATGCACAAGGGAGGATGGTCAGAGAACCTAGAGCCACGGTTCCCAGACTTGCCCACCCCAGCCAGGCCAACAGCATCTGTAGGATCCCCAATGGCCCTGCCCGTTTCCTTCTTGGTGGCCCTGGTGGTGCTCAGCTGCTCTCTGGGATGTGACCTGCCTCAGAACCATGGCCTGTTCAACAGGAGGGCCTTGATGCTCCTGGGCCAAATGAGGAGAATCTCCCCTTTTTCCTGCCTGAGGGACAGAAATGACTTTGCCTTCCCCAAGGAGATGCTTGATGGCAAGCAGTTGCAGAAGGCTCAAGCCCTCTCTGTCGTCCATGTGATGAACCAGAAGATCTTCCACCTCTTCTGCACAGGGGCCTCATCTGCTTCTTGGAACGAGACCCTCCTAGAGGAGTTCTGCTCGGGACTTTCTGAGCAGCTGACTGACCTGGAAGCCTGTCCCATGCAGGAGGCGGGGGTGGCAGAGACTCCCCTCAGGAAGGTGGACTCCATCCTGAGGAACTACTTCCAGAGAATCTCCCTCTATCTGCAAGAGAAGCAATACAGCCCTTGTGCCTGGGAGATTGTCAGAGCAGAAATCATGAAACCCTTCTCTTCATCAACAACCTTGCAAGGAAGGTTAAGGGGCAAGAAATGAGACCTGGTTCAACATGGTAATGACTCTCACTGACAAATAATATCATACTTCCATGTGTTCTGCCATGTCAAAGACTCTCATTTCTGCTATAATCATGACATGATGGAATCAATTTGTCAAATGTTTTCAGGAGTATTAAGTGATATCATGTCAGCTATAAGCACGAGTTGCTTTCAGATGACCATGCTGAAATGATGACCATTAATCAATTAATTCTATTGATGTATCTATTTAACAACTTATTTATTTAACTATTTATAAGATTTAAATTATCTTTGAACAATATTAGGTATACTTTCCCTTTGTGGTTAAGAGAAAAAATATATCGTTTATATTTGTTAAATTTATTATTTCCTTTCTTTATTAAATATTTTGTATAGAAAAATTATTGTATTTGTTTATTATTTAAAAAAGAAGTCTGATTATAACCTGATGAGAGAATGGATTGTACAACACACTTTCTCATTATTACGTTATTCACACTATAAGTTAAAAATAGACTTTCTCTAAGCCAGTTTATATGTTGCTGTCAGGATAGAGGTGGACATGACAAATCCAATCCTGCTTTGTACCACTGATTTTTGTGGAGAAACCAACCTAAAAGCAGTAATCATACTGAAGTAGTATCAGTTATGTTAAGTGGTGTAATGAGAAGAAGGGGAAAAATGGAGTTCTCTCAGCAGAAGCTGCAGTAAGTCGTGTCAGGAAGCAAAACCAGAAGCAGTAGATATCTCCTACAATTGACTGCTAGACTTCCAAGTATAAATATTCTTGGAAAATGTATATTTGAGTCTGCAATTTATAAGCAACTCCATTAACTGAAAGCCTAGGAACAGAAGTGGTCACATGGGAAGAGTAGAGCATGAGAAAAGAACTTAAGATTCATTCCTTGAGGGGCACCTGAGTGGCTCAGTGGGATAAGCATCTGCCTTAGGCTCAGGTCATGATCTCAGGGTCCTGGGATGGAGCCCCGAGATGGATGGGCTCCCTGCTCCTCAAGGAGTCTGCTTCTCCCTCTCCCCCACCACTCCCTGACACCCCCACTTATGCTCACACTCTCTCTTTCTCAATAAAATAAAATAAAAAGTTCAATTCTTTGAACCTTCGAATGGTAAGGGAGAAAAGAGCCACAAAGGAAACAAAGGTGGAATGGCCCTAAGGCAGTAAGATAAGAGAGAATATTGGTAAGAGTATTTCAAAGATGAAAAGTGCTTCAAAGAATTGCATCATTGCAAAATGTGGATGGAAAGTGCCCCACCACACAGGGATATAGGGAGACTGAAACTTCAGTGAGAGCCGGCTTGCCAGAATTCATCATGGGGGGAGTGAGTGAATAAGGGAAGAGAAGTTAATGTATTCGGAGAAAATAGTTGTGAGAGATTTGCCTTCTGAAATGCAGCAGGAAAATAGAATGGGAATTGGAAACTATGTGCATTTTTTTTCTGCAGAGTTCCCCTTTTTGCAATGTATGTGTCTCTGGGTTGATTCATGGACTTGAAGTATTAGCAAATCATGTCAATCTGTTTAATATGTATTTCTTTTAAAGCATGGCACATGTCATTACCCACAAGGCTAATTTATTATTATTTTGATTACTACTGTGTGGAATGTCAGCAAGCTGCTCTATGGATTGAAACCATCCGGTACATGGGGAAGCAGACGGAACTGCCCGTAATGAGAGCAGGTTTGGTGGAATTCACAAGCAGAAACCACAGGGCAACAGGTGGAAGGCAAGGTTGCAGAAGAGAAGAGCTCCCGATGTTTTTCTCTCACCTAGGAGTCACCTTAGTGTTGTCACTCCCTTCCTGGTCAGATTGCCTTTCAGTTCCTGTTGCCTCAATGCATCCAGATGTGATGACAGCTTTCTAGCAAAGCTGAATGGAGAAAGAAAAAAAAATGATGTATTGAAAATGATGGAAACTAATGGTACAGGCCCTTTCTGTTTCCATTTTTACATCCCTAGTTTGGTACCAAACTCAAGATGAAATGGGAAGGAATTCAGAAGAGTAAGACAACCCCCGTCCAGAAATTACTAAATTAGAACAAACATATACAATTTTAAAAACTCTGAACTAGTCAAGCAAAGGTGGCTAGTTTTCTCTAGCATCCTATGTGGCCTCACTGCCTCACGTTTTCACTGTGAGACAGAGCTTGAGGAATCAAAGGGCTCAGGAGAAGAGGACTGATTCAATAATGCAGGGATGGTCATTCCTCAGTGGAAGCCCATGCACAGCAGAGAAAGCCACACGGAGTCCCCTGCAGCCTCAAAAACTGAGAGCAGAAGAAGGACTCCACAATCTAATGAACTGAACTCCACACAGAAATCAATATTTAGGGGCGCCTGGGTGGCTCAGTCGTTGAGCGTCTGCCTTCGGTTCAGGACATGATCCCAGGGTCCTGGGATGGAGCCCCGCGTCAGGCTCCCTGCTCCGCGGGAAGCCTGCTTCTCCCTCTCCCACTCGCCCTGCTTGTGGTCCCTCTCTCACTGTGTCTCTCTCTGTCAAATAAATAAATAAATAATTAAAAAAAAAAAAGAAATCAAGATTTAGCAAAATAAAATTGCTGTCGCTATTTAAGGTAAAATTAAAAAAAGGGGGGGGGAGGGATAACTCACCCAGACCCGTGCCCCTGACACACACATGTAGTACATAATGTTTACCTTGCGTCCTCTGGAAGACATGGAAAAATATGACACTTGAGTAGCTGACGGAAAGAAGAGGAATTGGTCACAGAAACACTCTTGGGTCTTGGGCCGTTGAGTGTTTAGGGGACAAGAACAACCCCCCGCCAAGGTAGGTTTGCTCAAAGCTGGAAGTGTGATGAGCTGACTCCTGGCAGCCAGGTAGAGAGAGAGGGAGCGAGCGAGCGAGGGAGGGAAGGGGGGAGTGAGGAGGACGAAGATGGAACACAGGAGGCTGTAGGAACATGGGCCCACAGCATAAGATGCTACCTGCACTGCTCCTCGGGATGAGGTGCTGTCCAGAAAGTACAAACAGATGTGCAGCTGAAAGTAGAACGGAAACACCCAGGTGTACCTAAAACCATTAGGAAACCAGCCTGGGGGTTGGGGAAGAACTGCTGGGTCATTAGTAGGACAAGGTGGAAAGAGGAGGAAAAGCCACTTACCTCCCTAGTCATGAGGCCCCCCGTACAGCACGCCATGTGGCCATCCTTGGAAGTCGTCTTTTGTACACAAAATCTGAAAGTATTCTTCATCGGTCATTATGCCCTGAGCAATTAATATGAACACTGGCCATTGATTAAGGTGTGGGAAGACCCCTGGGGGTGCTTGTCAAACATGGGGAACACATCCATTCTGGAGAGGACAGATGCCAAGGGATAAGGCAGAAGAGCTGAGGTGCAGAAATGAAAAGAGCGAAAACAGAGCCCGGGAGCAGAGGTAAAATTGTGTTCTGAGCAAGGAGAACAAAGCTGCATACTTGTGACTGTGACACAAACATTTTTTTTTTCTCATTTGAAAGCTTTGGCTCCGTTTACATAGAACCATCCCAAGTATTGGACAAATTAAACTTCGAGGAAAAAATGAAAAAATAATTGAAATGGGTGATGTCTTCCAATCTTCTAATCTAAGTAAAGCAAATGTAAAGAAAAGCAAACAAAAATTAAAAGGCATAAAAAGTGTACAGGAACATTCTGCAAATGAAAACTACCCTCTTCTATTTAAGAGTCAGTAGAAAGAACTGGAGAGGAACTGGGGGCCACGGCGCCCCCCACTGGTCACCCTGGCCACCGGACTCAGCTATGGCAGAGATTTGTGAATTGTCAGACCAGGAATTCAAAATGACTGTATGCTGAGGGCTTTAATGTATCCATATTCCCATTCATTCATTTACTCATCTATTTTATCTACTATGTACTGTTTAAAATACATTTGTTCAGCAAGATGCCCTTTTAAACATAAAAAAAAGTTTTGTTCATATAATACCATATTTACCTTCATAATATATTTGAATGTAACAAAATTTGTTCATCTTATTTTTGTCAAATTGTTTTCTTTATGAAATCCTTCCCCAGGAGATTTTTCAGATTTGCCCGTTCTTAAAAAGAGAGATAGCCTGAATTTGTGACCCATATTGAAGAATGGATGATAAATTCAAATCACTCATTCATTTATCATTTATTATTTTAAAAACTGTATATCTCTATGCCAGATTATGTGGTTATCCTGGGGACACAGAAGGGAATAAAGCAATTGTAAAGCTTATTCTCTTTGAGCTTTCCATTTTGAAGGGAAAGAAACATACAGCAATAATCATGTTTAAGGAATTTCAATTATATTTCATATTAAAACAAGAGGTAGAGCACAACAGACTTTCACTAGCAGCTTGAATGAGGGATGTCAAGAGGGGAGACAGAGCAGATGAACTCTTTAAAGCAGATGAAACCTCTAAACAGATATTTCACCAGTAGATGCATCCTTGGATCCAGAATCTCCAACAGAGTATATTGTGGAGATATTAATTTACAATTGTTTGTTGCATATTTGCAAATCAGGGCATGATAATAGATGTGTTCACTTATGAGTAGATTATAAAACGAGGAGATGACCTTAAAGCTTATGAAGATGTTGAACTTTTAAGGTTAAAAGAGAAGAACTTGCAAAGGGCACAGAGATGGTGTAGCCAGTGTGGGTAGGAGACAAGAGAAGAATGATCTTCAGAAAGTACTGACTAAAAAAAAAAGTACTGACTAAGCAAACAAAGAGTTTAAATTTGAGGGGCGTCTTAGAGAAGGATGGGGCTAACTTGTCCCAGTGGATCTGGAAACATAGGTGCCATTGATCACTTTGGTAACATCTGATTAGGAAGAAAAATAGGCCATGTTGATAGATGAAGAAAGAGTGTGGTAAGTTGTCTCCTCTTTTTTTTACGTAGATCAGCATTGCTATGGTTCTATAAATTTACGGAAAAAACATATTTATAAGAGGCTCTTGGTTTCTTTGGTTTTCTTTAGAGTTTTTCTAGTTTCTATTTTCTTGA